AGTTCATGCTACTAACATGCTTAGTCAACGAGATTGATAGTGTTGAAGACTAACAAACAAGAATTAGGGGGTATTTATATGGGAAATAACGATGTCAAGAAAAGACAGAAGTGTAAGCTACGAAATAATCAAAAAAATAATCAAATATTCTCCATGCTCAATAGTTCAAGAACAGGGATGTGGGGATGGACACGGGTGAAGTCTGGTAATCGATTCAATTTGTATGAATAAATCAACTCAAATCGATTCCAGCTAACCTGGGTAGGTTCGAATTTTTTGGATTCCAAGGGTTTGAAAATCATTTTTCCTCTCAAATCGAGGTTTTCACACTTACCAACATCCCTTCAAACAGACTCAAGTAGGTTTGATTTGGTGGTTTTGATCGGTTGGTTAATTTGTCCATCGTTATCTAAGACTATTCAAGGTTCTCTACCGTTAAAGTGAGTGTCAAAAATTATTGAAAAAAATAAATAAATTGAAAAGTCAAGGTGATTCGATTCTCATTTCTTTTCAAAAGACTCAACGATATATATTAATTATGCAAGAGGCGTTTCAATTATCTTTTTAAACTCACTAATAAATCATTCATTTTAATAAGTTGAAAAATATCTTTTTATTCAGATTCTTTACTTAGATATTTAAATGTAAATTTGCTACAGCATAATAAGTACAAAACACAATTATTTCTAGTATTGTTATGTCACGAATAAGTCTATAGTAATATATTCACGCGGAACATAGAAATATATTATTATTTTTATATATACTTACACTTGTCGGCGATGCCAACGCCGGTCAGCTCTGCTCGGCAGTATTTAACGGATGAGGCAGCGCGTGCATTGGACGACGCGGTTTCAGTGGCGAAGCGGCGGAGCCACGCGCAGACCACCTCACTACATGTTCTCTCTGCTGTATTTGCCCTTCCTAACTCGATTCTCCGGGAGGCCTGTTCACGCGCCAGACGAAGTGCGTACCTTCCACGCCTACAGTTCCGAGCTCTCGAGCTAAGTGTCGGCGTCTCGCTTGATCGGCTCCCGTCTTGTAGAGAAGACTCCGATGAGCCGCCGATTTCGAACTCGCTAATGGCTGCGATCAAGAGATCCCAAGCTAATCAACGCCGGCACCCCGAAACTTTTCATTTGTATCAGCAGATGAATTTTCAGAATCCATGTCAGCCGTCGATTTCTGCTGTGAAAGTTGAACTGAAGCATTTTGTAGTATCAATTTTGGATGACCCGATTGTGAGCCGGGTCTTTGGTGAAGCGGGTTATTGGAGCACCGATGTAAAGTTGGCCATTCTAAATCCTCCTACCACTTCAAGGTTCTCCAAAACCCTGTGCCCGCCTCTTTTCTCGGGTAATTTTAGTGATTTAGAATTAAATAAACGTGGCTTTAAATTTCCGTTTCCTGGGGTTGTAGAAAACGTTGATGAGAATTCAAGAAGAATAGGGGAGATTCTTGTGAAGGAAAGTTTGAGAAATCCGTTGTTGATTGGGGTATATGCTACTGCTGCACTTAAAAATTTTATTGAGTCTTTGCAGAGGGGTAAAAATGAAGTCTTGCCCAAAGAAATTTATGGTTTGAGTGTGATTTCTATTGAAAACGAGATTTCTGAGTTTATTAATGGAGGTTTGAGTGAAGATATGATGAGGCTGAAGTTCAAAGAATTGAGAGACATGTTGGCTAAATGTGAAGGACCCGGTATAATTTTGAACTATGGAGATTTGAGGGTATTTGTGGATGTTGAATCAGTGGATGCTGTGAATTATATGGTTTTAGAATTGAAAATATTGTTGAATAGCTCTGGTCGGAAATTATGGTTGATTGGGGCTGTGGTGGATGATAATAGTTATAAGAAACTTTTAGCGCGGTTTCCTTCTATTCAGACAGACTGGGATTTGCATCTGCTGCCAATTACTTCTTCCAAACCTTCTTCCTTTGAAGGTGTGAGCTCCAAGTCCAGGTGAGCTGTGAATTTGTACTTTGTTTCTTTGATATCTATTTTAAAATAATGTCCTAGTGCTGCATTTTTTAACTTAATGTTTAAATGAGACAAAGTATTGCTCTTTTAAAATAATTAATGTGGAATTATGGATGCCAACACCACATCTAATGGAATGAAGGATCAGTTTTTGTAGAGTTGCACATGTGATTGGGAAGAGGTCATATGCGCATGTGTGTCTTAGTGTCTTTGTTCTTTTTCTTTGGAGCCAGGCTAGCACAACCTATGGCGCTCAGATCTTAAGTTGGTAGTACTGACCAGTAGATTAAGAGGTCTGAAATTGGGACTTCGATTAAATATTTCCATATTTCACTTTTCTTTTTAGTTGGCGGTGAATTTAGGGGACTGAGAAGTTCTGGCAGTGTAATCCATTATACTTTGGCAGTGAATTTCTGATAAATAAATTATTAAATCATTTAATCTCTTGTTATCTTCTCACACTTAACCAAAAAACTTAGATTGGCATTTAAAGATTCATTTTGTGGGATGTTGAAGAATGAAAGTATGAAAGATCATATCTATAATAGCATTCGATTTTTGTTCAGTACTTATCCGTAATGAAAGTGCATAAAAAACATTCAAAAACAATTTAATATAGAATTACATTTAATGCACCTTATGTATATATATTTTTTCCTTTTGCGTGCTTGTTTTACTTTATAAGTTTCCTTTTTGTAGCCACAAGTTTCTTCCCTTTTTTCGACGAAGGCTTAATACGGTTTAAAATTTTATGTTGCTGATGAAATAGCAGTATATTATCATAATTTCCAAAACTATAGCATCTAAGCCTCCATTTGGGAAATCTATAAATTGTTGATAATGAGGAATAGTAGAGTTTCTCACAAAATGTTTGAATAATAATGAGCAGTAATCATGAATGTCTTGTTGAAATTGATGTTTGACTTTGATTGAATTTATGAAACCATTTATAAATTTCTTTCCAAATGGAGGCTAAACTTTAATTGCACATTATACTTAGGGTGTGTTATATAAATTTTCCTACATATTTTGTCAGAGTTGTAGGAATAGTTTCTTTTTAACACTTTTAAAACAATAATATGTAAGCTTTGATTTTCAAAAACGCTAAATGCAAAGTGTAATTACACTCTATGTATAGGTATGTTTTGTTAATTTCATTATTTCTTTACCGTGTGTCATTGCTCAAGAAACAAAGAGTTCATCTCATTTATTAGTGTTCATCATTAACTTGGATGTATGCATCATTAACATGATTGTTGGTCACCCAAAATATTTTTATTTGACCCAAGCCATCGATTGTGCATTTTGGCTTCTGACATTTTTGCAATTTGAACTCACAGTTGCATGCTCATGATATAATTTCAGCTTGATGGGATCATTTGTTCCATTTGGTGGATTCTTTCCTATGCCATCTGAGAATAGGCCTCTTTGCACAACTCAATTGTCAACTCTCTGCGACTTGTGCAAGGAAAACTTTGAGCAAGAAGTTTCTATTCTGAAGGGAGGACCCAATTATTCCGTCGTAGGTCAGCAATCAGAAAATGTATCTTCTTGGCTGCAAATAGCTGAATGTGACATGAGCAGGAGTTCGGTTTCTGTGGAGGTTTATCATTACTTTAAATCCTAACTTACTTGAACAAGCTAAACAAAGTTGTTCAGACTACTTAAAACAATGCCTATGAGTAGTTGGTGAAATAATTTTGGTCAAACCATTTGATCTAAAAGTTTAGCCATTGTTTGGGACCAATTTTTTGAAAAAGGTTCTTTCTTTAATAGCGTTTTGATCCCATTTCAATCGTACATTCTTCAATAAAATCTTATTAAACGCAAACCAAAAACTTTTTTTGATTTTTTAACCACACATTTCACATCTGTATTCTATTCAAAAATGCATTTTTTTTGACAAAAATGGGGCTCAAACGAGCCCTTAAATTGTTAAATAAGGTCACATGTATATAATTAATGTCTTAAACACACTAGATTCGAATTGAAATTGTCAAGTCATCTATAGCTGTTTAGTCAAGAATTCATTTTAACATAATCATCTAGTTTCCTTTGTTTTATTGATGGGCATATCTCATTTCAAGATTAATAAACTAGTTTCCTTTGTTTTATTGATGGGCGTATCTCATTTCAAGATTAATCGACTGACTTAATTGGAATTCTATTTACAGTCTACTTATTTTTATTT